GGCACCGGCGGCCTCGTCGTTCGGCTCTGCGGGTACCTCACCCTGCTGGAGCTTGGGTACCTCACCCTGCTGGAGCTTGGGTACCCCACCCTGCTGGAGCTTGGGTACCTCACCCTGCTGGAGCTTGGGTACCTCACCCTGCTGGAGCTTGGGTACCTCACCCTGCTGGAGCTTCTGCTCCTTCTGCCCGTGGGACCAGGTGGCCATAACGCCAGGTTCTCACTCTGAGGCACTAGAGCTTAGCTGCTCGCACCACGGAAGGTAGAGCCACGGCCTTTGGGGTGAGGAGGGTGGGCGGGCCCTGCCGAATCCTCGCCTCCGATTGGTGAGCCACATGTCACGTGACACCTCTCCCCAGAGCCATCCAACCCAGAGCCATCTGGCTTCAAACAGGAGGATGTGCTCCGCCCCTCGGTGANCGGGAGGATTCCCGCCAGCCGGCCCAGACAGAGACTGGCGGCTTCGCTGGGTGGAGCGTCTCTGGAGGACAGGCCCTGGCGCCGTGCTGGTACCCCACCCTGCTGGAGCTTGGGTACCCCACCCTGCTGGAGCTTGGGTACCCCACCCTGCTGGAGCTTGGGTACCCCACCCTGCTGGAGCTTGGGTACCCCACCCTGCTGGAGCTTGGGTACCCCACCCTGCTGGAGCTTGGGTACCCCACCCTGCTGGAGCTTGGGTACCCCACCCTGCTGGAGCTTGGGTACCCCACCCTGCTGGAGCTTGGGTACCCCACCCTGCTGGAGCTTGGGTACCCCACCCTGCTGGAGCTTGGGTACCCCACCCTGCTGGAGCTTGGGTACCCCACCCTGCTGGAGCTTGGGTACCTCACCTTGCTGGAGCTTCTGCTCCTTCTGCCCGTGGGACCAGGTGGCCATAACGCCAGGTTCTCGCTCTGAGGCACTAGAGCGTAGCTGCTTGCACCACGGAAGGTAGAGCCACGGCCTTTGGGGTGAGGAGGGTGGGCGGGCCCTGCCAAATCCTCACCTCCGATTGGTGAGCCACATGTCACGTGACACCTCTCCCCGGAGCCATCCAACCCAGAGCCATCTGGCTTCAAACAGGAGGATGTGCTCCGCCCCTCGGTGATCTGCCCTGACGCGGTCAAGAGTGGGGATTTCCCGTATGTTAAACCCGGCCCCTGAGGGGGGGGTGTGTTTCGGGGGAGGCGCGGGGGTGACAGGGGGAGTCTGTCTCTAGGAATATTTGAGTCGCTCCACGTCAGCTTGTCAGCACCATTCCGGTGGCTCAATCTCGAGTGATAGCTTAGAAGAAATACCACGCTGACCCAGAGGCTATATCCCCTAGCCATGTGTCCCTCTTGGCATCTAGTCAGGACACTGTGCCCATGTGTGACCCCAGAAGGGACTCTCCAGGACTCCAGGCATCTGGATGACACGATGCGGGGTCCGGTGGGTTTCAGGGTTGGAGAGAGGCCTGAAGGCAAAAGGGATGGGACCTGCTGACTCTGTCAAGCGTCACATGCCAGAGGGGGATTTAGAATATTCCAGTAAGAGGTTTCTCCTTGCTTTGACCCCTGAGGCACAGGCTGCAGGTTGCATAGGAGTAAGGGTGATACTGTCCTTAACTATGCATAACATTTGCATGAGCGGACACTCATTTTTAGTCATCATTACAAAAGCGTTGCATGTTCAATCCACAGACGAATGTACATTCATTTATTTGGACTAGTCTCTGGTTTCTGTTGATATAAATATGCTGTGATGCACAGACTTGAAGTTTCATATTTGGACACTCGTTTTTTTTTTTTTTTAGACATTTAAAATGTGAGTTTATTTAGGATAAAAAATAATTTTGTTAAATTTTAAGTGATATGTTGTTCTAATCATTCTAATCATTCAGAATTATACATAATATCTATTTTCAGTTCCTGATAAAAGTTATTTTTTTATGTGATTCTTTCACCCAGATCCTGTTTACCCTGCTCAGTTTTTTTTTTTTAAATTTTGTTTTATCAGTATACAATGTAGTTGATTTTCGTGTCCCTTTACCTATTCTTCCCTTCCCCCCCTTCTCCCTCCTCCCACCCATCAACATTATATCTGTTCACTTGTCTTAACAAGTTCAAGGAATTCTCATTATTGTGTTTTCTTCCCCACCCTCCCTCCATTTGTTTGTGTATTTATTTATTTATTTTTAGCTCACCGAAATAAGTGAGAACATGGTATTTCTCTTTCTGTGCCTGACTTATTTCATTTAATATAATTTTTTCTAAGTCCTCCAGCTATTCCACTGCTGGGAATATACCCAGAGGAATGGAAATCATCATGTCGAAGGGATACTTGTACTCCAATGTTTATTGCAGCACTATTTACAATAACCAAGAGCTGGAACCAGCCCAAATGTCCATCATCAGATGAGTGGATATGGAAAATGTGGTATATCTACACAATGGAATTCTACTGTGCTATAAAAAACAATAAAATACTACAATTCACAGCAACATGGACACTCATTTTTAGCCATCATTACAAAAGGGTTGCATGTTCAGTACCCAAAGCAGAAAAGCGAATGTAGGAAAACTACCACCTCAATTCCCACACACCCACATGCAAATACTGGAAATCTTATATGTTGGTAGAAAAGCCATTAACACATATTTCATATTTTTTGTTTTGTTTTATGAAAATCATGCATGTATTGTTTTTTAACCTACTTTTGGGGTCCAGAAAACACACTTTCCATGTCAATAAATAAATTTCCACTAGGCCATTTTGTAACTACAAAACATTCATTTTAGGGAATGACTTCAAACATTCCTATATTGACCAACATTTATGTTGTTTCCAACTTTTGACATCAATTTGAGATACATTCTTTTCACTAAAAATTGTTCATATTCTCAAATGTCTCTGTTATGGATAAATTCCCAGAAGAAATTCTTGGTACAAGTCTATGCACATTTGTAAATTTTTTTGATAAACATATTAGCAAACTGCTGTCCTGAAAGTTGCTGTTATAACAATTTTGTCAGAATAGAATGGGATATTTAATAGAATGGATGAGCAGCAGACTGAAACATAGCTCATAAATAGAATGATATTTGGAATGATAGTTGGAGTGTTAAATAATTTGGAATGGAAAATCAATTTTACATGGAATTCAGAATGGGATAAGATGGAGACTGATTGCAGTGGACACTGGAATAAAATGGGGAATGGAATACGGGTTTGAACAGGATATGGAATGGAAAATTAAATGGGATGGAAAATGAATGGAATATAATGGGAAAATGGAACAAAAGAGAAAATAGAAATATCTAATGTCACATGGAATAAAAGAATATATGTTCTGTGCTAAAAGGAATGATATGTAGCATAAAATATTAAAGAAAAATGGAAGTAAATCAAAATAGGAAGGAATATAGAGTGCAATGGAATGTACAATGGCTTGAAATAAATGTACTATGAAATATGCACTATAGATTTTAAAATATGAGAAAAGAATGGAATGAAATTTGGAATGAAATATAGAATACAAGTTTATAAAGGAGGGAATATGGAAAATGAAATACTGAAGAAATAAAGGATGTACTTAAATAAAGAATAAATGAATAAAAAGTGTTCTAGTCCCCTACGACTCCAAAACTTAGCGTGGTGGAACAATGCAAATGTGTTTATGCTTGGTCATGCGTTCTGCACAGCTAAAATTCAGACAGGGAGGAGTGGGGATTGCTTGTGTCTCTCTTCCACAATGTCGATATCTGGGGCCTAAGCTGGGAAAATTTGTATGTCTGTGAGGTTAGGAGGGAAGGATAGCAATCAGTGATAACGCCTAGATTTTGGTGGACGGTGGTGCCACTTACTGAACTAGGGAAATCTTGCTCAGTTGAGATCAGGGAGACAATGAGAATCATTGATTTTGTTATGTCCATGTTGACCACTATGCCTTGTGTCCTTGTCATTTAGGGTTATGAACCCCAACTGATCTCACAGCGATTCCTTTAGTTCTACGGACAGCTTTCACCAGTTTCATGGATCCAGTTTTCCTCTTGGGAGTCATGTCAGTTTACTCTCTGAGATCTTTCCTCCTTTCTGGAATTGCTGTGAGTCTTAGTCATGATGCCTGACTTAGTAATAACTAAAATGCACCCATCTATCCTTGCTCTCTTTAAAAGAATATATAATATATAAGGAATATGTAATATATATATGAAGAGTATATGCATAAGGAATATAGATAGATAGATAATGAGGGTACTTTCATTTATTGACTGACTATCCTCTAAGGTCTCAAACTTTATTCTAAAGAAATCCCTCTCTTTATTGGTATTTTCAATACCTTCTTCTTTCTTTTTCCCCCTGGTCCACTTAAAAAGTGTTTATGTATTTATGTTCTCATAGGAAAAAAAATCTGGAAAGACGATTTTTATCCTCTTCATACTTTATCTTCTGAATGCTTTCAATGAGCATACATCACTCTTGTACTCAGAAAAAATAAGTTATTTGCATTTTTGAAAACAATTATTTTTTATTTCTAATTAGATTTTAGGCTGTTGTAAGAAAACAGACTCTCTTATATATTACTGAATTGGATTATAAATTCATAGCACCTTCTCAGATAAAAATTTGATGATATTTTGATACATATAAAAAGTCTTACATGAAATCCATATGATGCTACAAGTCCTAGTCCAGGCATGAATGATAAAGAAATACTCATATATACTCACAATGTTATATGCTGAAAGGTGATTATTATAGTGTCATT